CCCACTCGCAAGAATTCACCCAGCTGTGACCCCTCACGGTGCCCCTCACCCCAATGTTCCAGGGACCAGGGTGACTGCTCCCAAGTTAGCCTCAGCTCAAAAAAGGGTCAGCCATTGACTCCCTGGAAAGGCTCCTCAGTTTCCCTATAAATGCTGGAGAGTGGAGGGGATGGACTGTCCGTGAGTGAAAGGCCATCAGCCCATGTTCTCAGGGCCTGTTACTGGGGCTCAGGGTCCAGCCTGGGTTCCAAGGTGTCTGAGAAGTGTCTGGGAACCAGGTGCTCTAAAGGCCAGGGCGTTCAAGACACTCAGCACCTTTTGCAGTTTGAAGGGAATTCAGAGTTTCTCCCAGGGAAGTTCCCACATGGGGTGTTTCTGGGTCCATCTGGCAAAGGGTCTTGTGTTTTTCCTCCCCTCTCCCCCCTCACACACTTTAGACACCGTCCTGGTTTACAAAGTTGCATATAATGAATTGTTACAGGCATTCAATATTCCAACACAACTCCACCACCTCTCTCACCTTCCCTCCAACATTGTGTCCATTTTTGCACCAGTCAATACTGCCCCCATAGCAAGTCCTCAGTAATATCTTTTAGATTGTGTGTTACCAATTAAGGGCTAACAGAATGACCAAAAACTATTTCCTAATAAGAAAATTAGTGAATATTTTTGTACCTCATCACGCAGATATTAAGTCCTTGTCTGAGGGATTATTATGATTCTGTTACAATTTCGGCTCCAATCTTAATTGTTTTGTTATCCAGATTAGTTGGCTTCTACTTTACATCTCATCCAATCTGGTGAGCTGCTACTGGATTGTCAGGGTTCCCGTGTTTGGATAGTACGGCAGAGGAGCTTGTTTGTGGGCAAGATTGCAGGGGTTTCAGGAAGTATTGGGAGGTTGGGGGAGGTAGCCCTCCCCAGTTCCATAAGGCCAGAGACTTTCAGACAAAGGGACCCATGTACCTGAGGTTTTGCAGAATTAAGTTCACGGTGAGGCTCAGTAGTCCTAAGGTGATGGGTACGGGAGAGAGAAGCTGCTGGGATATTACTTGGATGTGCAGTGGCCTGACCCCTCTGAGTGTTATAGGTGGAGGGAGCAAGGCGTACATGGCAAAGTTTAAGTCAGCAATTGTTTATTAACTGATCAGTGACTGTCGTCTCTGCCCAGTATTTGAACAAGAGAGCATCCCCCCAAGTGTCTTCCAGACACATAAATGGACCCATTTCTCTTCTCATTCTTATGCTAAGTTAGCAGGTAAACGATATACAGAAATCAAAGATAAGCAATTAGCAAAACAATCTATAGATTACAAAATAGGACTATTAGTAAGACAGTAAAAGCAATTCACTGATTAACATAGAAATCACCCCAAATAAAAAAACTAAAGATAGTTGAACAATAGTAAAATAAACTCAAAACAGAATCACATGATAGTTAAACAGCTGATTGATTCTGGGGCTAAAATATAAGCAGTAGGCCACCCTCTTTATTGATCCCCCCAAGTCCTGCGCTTGCTTTTATGCCAAGTGAGCATACATCCTGTCTCTCTACCAGATGATCACATATCCTGCTTTCCACCCAAGCCCCTTTGCACACATCCTGTTTTTCTGCCATGTAAACACGCATCATCTTACCTGTCAAAGGGGCTCACATTCCGGATGCCAGGGTCAAAGACAGTGTGCCGCTTTCTCAAGGAAGTAAGGTCAGTTGGTCTCCCACAGAGGGAGGGCCATCCACTGTGTCTCAGCAAGGAAAGGGTCTGAAAAGTTTTCAGAGCTAGTTGATCCCTTTAGTGATATATTTATGTGTCTCTGGAAAAAGGCTGGTAAAGATAAGCCTATGTGTTGATGGACATGGTTTGTGGGAGCAGCCCAAGTTTTGAGTTGTTTGTCTGTGCTGGGTTGCCCTATTTTTAGCTTTAGAGAAACATCCCTGTTTCCCAGAGGAGAAAAAGAAAGTGAAACCAGCTTTCTCTGCCCCCACCAAGCTGCTCCAAGCCTGTGTTGGGCTCCTCTTACATTCGGGCCCCCAACAGCACAGGGGAAGGTGAGCATTCTGCCCTGTTGGTATGCATGTCACCAGAATCCACAGGTGATGGTGTGAGAGACACACTCCCCAGTCCCAGAAGTCAGAGAAACAGCAAAAGTGAGGTGCAGTGAAGGTAAAGCATGTCCTGGCCTCTGGAAAGAACAGGTGTGAGCTGGAGGGATCTTGGCTCAGGGAGCTGCTGGGAGACTAAGGGCTGAGATGGGGGAAGCCCTGGAACAGCTATGACTGGGAGCACTCGAGAGTGCTCGCTGTCCTCATCCCTTTTCACTACCTAGGAAAGAACTAGAGAGGCCCAGGATCCAGTCTGCTGCCTCCCAGCAGAGCTCTCTTTCTCCTTCTCTTTTTCTTTCTTTCTTATTTTATGTTTCTGGTTTTGGGCCATACTGTTGTGGGGTGAGAGAGTAGCCAAGAAGTCTGGAGCACACAGGCTATTCGCAGGTTGTTCTCAAGATTCCCTGCCCCTGGTTCCCTGCATCCCTGCAGTGTCCCATCCTGTTTCTTGGTTCGTCTTTTGAGCAATTCATGTTTTTTCTGCTAACTTTGGGTCATCTATTCACAATACCTGGTGGAACTCAGGGCTTACTTCTGGCTCTGTACTCAGGAATTTCTCCTGAAAGTGCTCAGGGGACCAAATGGGAAGCTGAGTTTGAATCAGGGTCAGCCAGCTGCAAGGGAAATGTCTAGTCTCACTGTACTAGTGCTCTGGTCTCTGGAATTCTTGTTTTTTTTTTTTTTGTTTTTGAGCAACACCCTGCAATAGTCATGGGTTACTACTGGCTCTACACTCAGGAATTACTCCTGGCAGTCCCCAGGGAGCCATATGGAATGATGTGGATCAAAATTGGATCAACCAGAACCATAACACCCAAAAGGAGAGAGAGAATAAAAGGGAATGCCCTGCCACAGAGGTGGGGTAGGATGGGGGGGGATGGGGGTGGGAGGAATACTGGGACCCGTGGTGGTGGAAAATGGGAACTGGTGGAGGGATGGGTACCAGATCATTGTATAACTGAAACCCAAGCACAAAAATTTGTAAGTCTACAACTGTACCTCATGGTGTTTCACTAATAAAAATTAAAAAAAAAATTGGATCAACCAGGTGCAAGACAAGTGGCCTATCTGCTGTACTATCTCTGCATCAACACATCTTTTTCTTTCTTTCTTTCTTTCTTTCTTTCTTTCTTTCTTTCTTTCTTTCTTTCTTTCTTGCAATATCTAGCAATTCTTAAGGGTTGCTCCTGGCTGGCTCTCTACTCAGAAATCACTCTTGGTGAGCTCAGGGGACCGTATGGGATGCTGGGAATTGAACCTGGGTTAGTCAAGAATCAATGCAAGCACCCAACCCTCTGGAATAGTTCTGGTCCCCCACATGGAACTTTTTTACTGCAATTATTTTTTCAAAATTTAAAATATATGAAACTTGGTTATATAAAATCTGATCACAGCCCAAAGCAGCACATGCACCCACAGTACACGGATGTGGTCCCCTCGTCCACCCTCCCCCAACTCAACCCTCAACCCCACACTCTCCATCCTGTTGACTTCCCCGGGCTCTCCCCATCATAACCTGGGTCCTGGTATCTGCAATCCCTCAGCCTGACTCCTCTCTCCTTCTGCGTTTCCCTCACAGGGGCCAGGAAAGTGGTCGTGCAGGCGCCCACCGAGGTGCATGGCTCCCTGGGCAGCACTGTGACCCTGCCATGTCACTTACAACCTCTGGAGTCAGAAATCCCACAGGTGACTGAGATCAGGTGGAAGCGGCTGGACCCTCTGGGGGACCCCAGCATTGTGGCCGAGTTCTACTGGGAGCGGGGCCCCATCATCGCCTAGCCCGACCGTCTGGAGTTCAAGGCCGCCAGGTTGGGTGCGGACCTGCTGGACGCCTCGCTGACCATTCGTGAGCTGAGCCCTGGGGATGAAGCCAATTACACCTGTGAGGTCCACATCAGCACGTCCCAGATGGGAAATGCGCTTACCTGGCTCCGTGTGTTCTGTGAGTGTGAGGGGTAGGGCTCCCGGGAGCGTAGCAGCATGACAGTGGGCGGGACTTCTTGGGGGGGGCGGGACTAGCGGGTAGGTAGGGGAGGGAAGGACTCAGAGAGGGAAGGGGCAGGATGAGACCCAAGGAGGTAAAACAACAACAACGGGGGGGGGCTGGAGATGCATATAGGTCCTTGTTGTGGGTCCGGAGAGAGTAGATCATTTGGTTCTTGCAGAAGATCTTGGTGACTTTTGTGGGTGGTGGTGGGGGAGGGGGGCATTTGTTGGTTTGGTTTTTGCCTGGGCCAGGGCAGTTATTCGGAGCCAGGTTGGGACCTGAAGTAACTTTTCCCAGTGGGCCCTGAGTTTATCCAGGACAAAGGTTGAGAGCTGAGATGCGCATGCTCAGTTCCTGCCTCAAAAATAGTGACAGCAGCACTGCTATGACCCCACCACCTACACCAGCACACCCACCCTCATTGTCTACATGTGGGCACCAACAACCCCATTACATCAAGACTTTTCTATACATGGGTTACCACCACCACTCTCCTTTGCTGCCTCCTCCAACTTTTTTTTTTTTTAATAAACCCACCGTGAGATAGTTGCAAAGCTTTCATGTTTGAGTTTCAATTATACAATGATCCCCTGCAGCACCCTACATGCAGGCACTGGCAGGAGGGAGCAGAGCACAAATTCCCAAGCATGTGATGCTACAGAACAGGGTATGGGCCCCAAGGTCATGAGCGCATTTGACATCTGTCCCCAGGTCACTGAAGTGAGAACGAGACCCTGACCCTTTCCAAGATAATCCGAATGACTCAGGGTCATGTCATATCGCCCAGACTCAGCTGCCCCTCATGTTGCCTGTGTGAAATGTGGGAGGGGCTCTTCTCTTCAAGTGTTGGACCCTCAGGCTGAGCAGTAATAGAAGGGTGTCCTTGTGTCTGTCCCTGTCCCCCAGCAGACTCCCCCCAGGTCTCCATCGCCCTTTATGATGACATTGGGCAGCAGGGCCGCAGGGAAACCAGCCTGACCTGTGACGCCCGCAGCAACCCAGAGCCCAAGAGTTATGACTGGAGCACGTGAGTCCTGGGGTTGATCCGGGTCAGAGATGGGAGGCTGGGAATGGACAATCATGTCTGAGCAGGGAGTCTAGGGATGAACTCCCAACCATTGGGGACAGGGTCTGGGTGCCCAAACTCTAAGGTGAAGGAAAAGAGACACTCACCTGGACTCCTGTACCTGAGAAAAGAGGTGCTGGGAGCCAGGGTTTAGGGCGGAGGCTGGGATGCACTCCTGGTCTGAGGGAGGAGGCTGAGCATGGAATCCTGGGTCTGAGGGAGGAGATGGGTATTCAATTTTAGCTCTGAGGGAGAAGGAACTGGGGATGATTAGTGTTTCCTAGGGAAAAGGCTGGGGTTGGACTCCTGGGTCTGAGGGAGGAGGTATATGATGGATACGTGGATCTAAGGGAGGAAGGATTGCAAGACAGACTTATTAGGAAGAGGGAGGAAGGAGTAAGGCATGAACTCCTTGGTCTGTTTTGGGTATTTTTGTTTGTTTCAGTGGACCAAATGCAGCAGTGCTAGGGCTTATTCATGGCTGTGCAATCCAGGATCACTCCTGGTGGGGCTCTGGGGATTGTATGGGGTCTTTGGGGTCAAATCTGGGTTGGTCACATGCCCTACCTGCTATCTCTGTGGCCCTGAACTCTTGGGTTTGAGAGGGGAGGCTAGAAAATAAACTACTGGGTATGAGGGAGGAGGCTGGGAATGACCTCTGGTCTGCAAGGAAGGAAAGGCAGAGGGATCCAGAGAGAGAGAGAGAGAGAGAGAGAGAGAGAGAGAGAGAGAGAGTCACCTCTGATCCCTATTAGACTGACTTGACTGTGGGCAGAGTCAAAGAAATAATCAAAGAAATAGCTAAGAGGACGAAGAATCTCCGGCTCTGGACACAACTCTTTGATTCCACTGTTCTTCCTACATTAACATATGCCTCAGAGACCTGGGTACTATGAAAACAGGATGAGAACACTATTCGGGTCTTCCAAAGAGTAATCAAAAGAGCTATGCTTGTATCACGCTTCACTCAAATGAGAGAAAGAATCCGGAGTTCCGACCTCCGTCGAAGGTCAAGAATCAGGGACGCTGTCTCGTTTGCCAAGGCATCAAAAATCAGATGGGCTGGACACGTAATGAGATTTGGAGAAGACTGCTGGACTAGAGCCGTTACCAACTGGATTCCACGGGTCGTCAAAAGAACAAAACTCAGCAGAGGAGTGTCTGGAGCTCTGTTTCAGCAAGTTCTCTCAGGCCACCAGGTGTATGTTGGGGGGAGCAGGAGCCAGGGAACAGGGGTCAGAATGGAGGTCACACAGGCCCTGAGGACTACAAGGCTCTGGATGGATTCTGAAGGTGGGTCCCAGGACCTGCTGAGCAGTAATAGGGGTGTGAGAGGGAGAATCAGGGAGACTTCGGGTACCTGCCAACTTGGGTCATACAGGGCGAGGTGCTAGAGTTCCTCAGTCCCTGTCACTCTGGGCTCCAACAGAGGCCGTGTTCTCACCCCCAGGACCACAGGCCCTCTGCCACCTTCTGCTGTACCCCAGGGCTCCTGGCTCCTGATCCACCCCACTGAGGAGTCCATCAACACGACCTTCATCTGCCGCGTCTCCAATGACCTGGGGATGGGCCAGGCAGCCATGAGAGTCCTGATCCCAGGTGAGGACCAGTAAAGAGCACAGAGACACCCAGGAGGTGCAGAGCAGGACTGTCTCTGTTGGTAGAGTCCCTGGGGAAGTACCCCTGAGCCATGAGATGCTCCCAGACTCCACCCGAGGTCTCTGCCTGGACTCTCAGAAAGGCCTTTCCAGGGGCTGGGGCCAAGCTCTCGCCATCGCAGCTGCTGAAAATGCCCCAGTAAGGCGAGAAAACAGCCGTCAGAATTGATTAGATCTGGGAGCCCCAAGTGTGGTATAAAGCAGGAACTTTCCTTATTTTGGTTCTGGCTCTATTCTAAGCCGAGTCTGCCCTCAGTAATCAGGGGCACATGGGCATTCCAGGTGCCCATCCCACCGTTTAGTGTGGCTGGAGAGAACACATTTTTTTCTTGTTTTGTTTTTCTTTTTTGGGGGGAGGGTTGTCACACTTGGGGTTTCTCAAGGTTTATCTCGGCTCTGTGCTCAAGGATGACACCTAATAGTATTTTGGGGATTGTATAAGGTGGTGGGGATGGTGTGAGGCTGAAGAGGAGCCATGACAGCTCCACTTTAAGAACAAAACTCAGCAGGCCTAAGTTTCACTTTCTCCTATCAGAAAGTCCCGACTTCTCAGGAAACAATATCACCCTGGGCAGATAAACAGCCCTGTGGCAACAGCCTATCAGAGTGGGGGGTATGGGCTGTGGTGCCCAGCCAAGCATAGAGGGCCTAGAGAGTGGAGTCACGGGACCGGACAGGGACCAGGATTGGAAACGTACTGCCAATTCCTAGAAGAATGCTGTTACGTAACCAAACCCTATATAAACTGCTCAGAATTCGGAGTTGGGGCCCTTGTCAATGCTCCACTGTGTTGGATGAGACTTGGACCCTAGCTTGAGTTAGTGATAAATGGGCCTTGCCTTTGCATCCTCGCATCTGGTCTGGTCAATGTACGGGTGAAACTCCCTTCCCGGGACATAACATATGGAGGCTCATCCTCCGGAATTTTGGCTCGTGCTGTGACCCCCAGATGACGACGTGGCCCTCATTCTTCTTGCTGATCATCACCGTGGGGACTCTCAGAGTTTCCATGGGGTCAGTTGCCCTGGAAGGAGCATTTGAGTGAAGGTCATCTCAGGGAGAGGTGGTTGGGTGACTGTCACCTTTGGGAGAGGCTGCTGAGGAACATCACCTCAGGGAGAGGTGGCTGAAGTGTCGTTGTCAGATTCACCATCTGAGTGTCTGACAGGAGGATTGGAGGAAGGATCGAGTACAGAGGACCAGCATAGGAAGAAGTCGCCAGTTGGGCAGTGTGGGAGACATTCCCGGAAATCCCAGAATGGTGGACACCATTCAGTAAGCTTGGTCACAGAGGAACCATCCAAGGAGTGGGGTTAGGTACAGTGCACTGAGGACTAGTGGCCGATATTTTGTCTATCTTCTTCGTGGCATATTTGAGTATCTGCGTATGTCTTGAGTCTGTGTCTCCGTTCTGTTTTCAGACCATTAATCACTCACATCCTCCCTAGGAACATAACCAGGGACAGACAACACCTCAGTCTCTCTCTCTCTCTCTCTCTCTCTCTCTCTCTCTCTCTCTCTCTCTCTCTCTCTCTCTCTCTTTTGCTTTTTGGGTCACACCCAGCGATGCTCAGGAGTTACTCCTGGTTCATGCACTCAGGAATTACTCCTGGCGATGCTCAGGGGATGCTGGAATCAAATCTAGGTTGGCTGCGTGCAAGGCAAAGGCTGTGCTATTGCTCCATCCCCACCCCAGTCTCTTTTTACCGATCATTTCTCGGATTTTAGAAGCAGAGCTCGTAATCGGCCTTTGGAGGTTAAAAAGAGTAAACTTAAAACATTTTGTTCTGCAGAATTGTCTTGTTCTGCAGCCTTCAACATTGGCTGACCCACTTAAGGTACTTTTGAGCTGGAGACCGTTCTAAAAAGTTAAAGGTATAAGTTTTTTTCCAGTACCAGGAGGATACCGGGACCAGATTCCTTACATCCTGGTCTGGCAGGAACTGGTTGAGAGACCCCTGTCTGGTTAAAAACAAGTGTGTTGCAAAACAATGAGAAAATAAAAATTAGGTTACATCTCATGCTTTCATCAACATTGACCATTCAAATGCTGTCTTATGCTGCTATTTAAAGGTTGGTGAGTACCAATGGCCTTCTTCTGTGTCTGAACACGTTTGAATTGTAACATTATTAAAGTATCTGGTGTAAAAATCTTAGGATTTGTGATAATTAAGACCTTTTAAAATTAAGTCAAAGAAAGACAGTCCTTTCTTGGAGAGTCAGATCAATTGATCAACTGTAAATATGTGCATATGTGCATGTGGTGTTTGTAGTCAGTCCATTGTCTGTCTGTCTACGTAAATCAGAAGTAGAAATCCTTAAACTTGGGCAAGAAGCATCAACACAAAAGGTCAGAATGATATGCAACAACCCAACAATTTAAAAGGTTTCGGTGTTTTGTTTGGCTCTTTTTTTTTTTTTTGGACAGAGAATTTGATATTCTCAATCTAATTTCTTACTGGAAAAACAATGGTTATTAACAATTGAAATTTTTTTTTGAGCTTTGGAATCTTACTATCTATAAAAGAGCTGCAGAACTATAGCCTGAAACTAAAGTGAAATTGGAGCTCAGAGAATGCAAGGCTTTATCTTACAAGCCTCTACAAATCTTAATGAAAAATTAAGCTGTTTTTACAAACAACAGAAGTACAGAAGCCATTATAACAGAGATTTCTCTGTTTTTTTTAAAAAATAAAATTGGCAGTTCAAGTGTTTTATTATGCTGCTATGTCAATATATATATTTGATTGCATCTTCATTGAATTGTTAGAATGATAATTGAAATAATTGTGGTACCTAAAAGCAGGTTCAAAGTGTAATAGTTTGGTTTAAACATAAGTTTCTAGGGGGTATGGTGCCGCCAGCAGGTCAATCTGTACCTGTGAGGCGAGTGCATCAGCAGCCTGATGGCACCGTCAGACTTTCAGATAACCCAAAATTGTTGCTGTGCCTTTGGCCAGACCCCAAAAACTTGGGGCAAAGTTTACCAAGAAAGTAAACGGCCAAAAGTTAGGTATGTGGGAGACACACCCACAAACCACCTCCGGCTCAGCTATATAATTGGAGGCATGGCCTCTCTGGTTCCTAATCAAACTGCTTAATGGCCATGATCCCAGAGACTCAGAAACGAATCTTGGAACCCAAAGGCTTTTGGCAGAAATGTGTCCTGTTCCTGCAGTAGGTTACTGGGGCTGGGCACTCCAAGTGGGAATAGGTTTCGTGCCTTGGCCTGCTCCATTTGGCGGCCCAGTGACCATCATCCTCCAGAGGCCACTGGACAATCAGGTTTGGGCCTGCAGTGATGAGACATGTGGGGCCTCACCAGATGGGGGTGGAACTGGCCCTTTCCTCCCCATCCCAGCGAGACCCCAAGTCACCGCCTTCGAACGGCCTCTATGGCTCCTGATCAATCTGCTTAATGGCCATGAACCCAGAGACTCAGAAACAAATCTCAAAACCCAGCAGCTTTTGGCAGAAATGCATCTGGACCGCATACAAGTTGGCCACTGCCTCAGAGCTTCTTGGAAAGCCAGGTATAAGCAGGCGTTGATGGGGCAACTGCAGTCTCATGTGAAGGGCAACGGTACTGGCTCATCCTTCATGCCCTACCGAGGTCACGAGTTGCCCCCCACAAGTAGCTCTCTGGCACGGCCATGGCTCCAGAGGCAAAAGGACTTAATCCAGAGCCCGGCAGCTTGCAGCAGAAAAGTGAATGGACCGTGCATTAAACTACAGCACCATGCCTCCCAAGGAGGGAAAGGGTGTTGCTCCCTTATGCCTTTCTCTCCCCTCCCCCGGCAGCAAGGTGGCCACCACCTCAGAGCTTATTGGAAAGCCAGGTATGAGCCAGTGGTGACGGGGCAACTGCGGTCTCATGGGGAGGGAGATGGTACCGGCTCATCCTTCACGCCCTACCGAGGTCAACAGTTGCCCCCAACGAGCAGCTCTCCAGCACAGCCATAACATCAGATGTACAGAAACCAATCTTGTAATTATCTGGCTCTTTGCAGAAATCCAAAATCATTAAATGATTCTCATAACCAGCTATAGAAAACAAAGTATTTCACAATGCCTTTTCAGCAATTATGATTGTTGGGGGGGGGGAATTCTAAACAATAATGGTGCATCTTTTGTCAAAATAATGAATGTAATCAGTGTAGAGAAGAGTTAAGTGAAAATCATCTGCCTCACAGGCATTGGGAGGGGTGAGAGGGGGATATATTGGGGTTCTTGGTGGTGAAAAATGAGTCCTGGTGAAGGGAGAGGTATTTGATCATTGTATGACTGAGACTTAAACCTGAAATCTTAGTAACTTTTCCCACAGTGATTCAATAAATAAATATAAGAAGAAAACTAAATAAATAAATAAAACTATGAAAAAAATCTATGAGTTTCTAAAGTTATAAAATTGGTTGCAAAAGTTATCCTATCAATGTTTTATTTGATTTCTGAGACTTTTGGGAACTCAAATTTCTAGAGCTACTTAGAAAAGTGTTATAATGAGTTAATCTTAGATGTCAGCCTGATAGTCTGAAGCCACAGCATTGTACCTTCATAAAAGTTTTAAAGATACCAGGTTTTCTTGCTGAAGTTTCAGACCAGGTTCAGATCAAAATAGCGGAAAACTGGCTTTGGCGACCTTGCAGCTGAACAGACACATCTGCACCCCACCCAATCCCACCTCCCATCTTAGATGAGGCAAATGAGAGCTAAGAATGGAAACTATCAATGTTATGCTGATAACAGGCTTGAAGTTAGGAAGTAAATATGCAAGTGTTAAAAGTTTTGAATAGATTATATCCAGAAAACAAAATTTGTATTTGTGGTAAAAGGAATTTAAAGTTTAAAGTATTCCAGCAGAAGAGTTTTGTCTTAAGAATTATGAAAAAGAAAGTTAGGAGATGAAACAGAAACCTAGAAGGAATATTTGATCTTCATACTAGATAAATATAGACAATCTAAAACTTTGTTCCCTTCCTCTATATTATCTTATTTGCAAGGATTGTTCAAAAAATTAACACAAGCTTAAACTGTATATGTGACTATTTGAGTTGTATACTGGAGAAAAATGAAAATTGAGGTTAAAGTCATTTAATATAATAAAATAAAAAATGCAGTCCACTGGAAGTGATGAAGTGGGCAAATATTGAAGGAATAAAGTAGGTAAATGAAATATATGAATCTTGTGAGTCTTTTAACCCTCTTTTATCTGTATTTTCCTAGGATTTAGAATTCTGTTCTAAAATCTTTCATTGTGAGCATTGTAAACCTTTTGAATATCTAAAGGACTGATGTAATACTTTTGAAAGTGTACTGCAGAGTACAGCCAAGTCATGGTAAATGAGGTAATGGTAGCAAACTTCTTTCCAAATTTATTGGTAGATCAAGCTACATTTAAGTTCAGTAAAATAACAAGATTAAAACCTGTGATCTCTGCCTAACACCATGTACAAAAGTAAGATCAAAATGGATTAAAGACCTCAACATCAGACCAGAATCCATAAAGTTCACTGAAGACAAAGTTGGCAAAACCCTTCATGACATTGAAGCTAATGGTATCTTCAAAGATGTCACGCCACTGGCCAAGCAAGTGAAAACAGAGATAGACAAATGGGACTATCTTAAACTAAGAAGCTTCTGCACCTCCAAAGAAACAGTGACCAAAATACAAAGACTGTCTACAGAATGGGAAAGGATATTCGCCGAATACAATCCGACAAGGGGTTGATATCAAGGATATACAAAGTACTGGTTGAACTCCACAAGAAGAAAACATCCAACCCCATCAAAAAATGGGGCGATGAAATGAACAGAAACTTTCTCAAAGAAGAAATCCGAATGGCTAAAAGGCACATAAGAAAATGCTCCACATCATTAGTCATCAGGGAGATGCAGATCAAAACCACAATAAAATATCATTTCACACCACAGAGACTGGCCCACATCCACAAGAACAAAAGCAACCGGTGCTGGCGTGGATGTGGCGAGAAAGGGACCCTCCTTCAATGCTGGTGGGAATGCCGACTGGTTCAGCCCTTTTGAAAAACAGTATGTATGATTCTCAAAAAATTAGAAATTGAGCTCCCATTTGACCCAGCAATACCACTCCTGGGAATATATCCCAGAGAGGCAAAAGAGTATAGTCGAAGTGACGTCTACACTTGTTTGTTCATTACAGCACTCTTTACAATAGCCAGAATCTCAATAAAACCTGAGTGCCCGAGAACAGATGACTGGTTAAAGAAACTCTGGTACATTTACACAATGGAGTACTATGTAGCTGTTAGAAAAGATGAAGTCATGAAATTTGCATACAAGTGGTACTACATGGAAAGTATCATGCTAAGCAAAATGAGTCAGAAAGAGAGGGATAGACATAGAAAGATTGCATTCATCTGGGTAACATAAAGTAACAAAATAGGAGACTAACACCCAAGAGTGGCCAGGATTAGAACCAGGAGGTTTGCTCCATGGCTTGGAGGCCAACCACACATGCTAGGGGAAAAGGCAGGTCAGATAGAGAAGGGAGCACGAAATAAAGGGTGTTGGGAGGATCCTCCCAGGATGGGAGAAGCATGCTGAAAGTAGACTATAGACCAAACATGATTGCCACTCAATGCCTCTTTTGCAAACCACAACACCCAAGAGCAGAGAGAAAACAAAAGGGAATGCCCTACCACAGAGGCAGGGTGGGATGGGGGGGGATGGGGGGTGGGAGGGATACTGGGACCCGTGGTGATGGAAAATGGGCACTGGTGGAGGCATGGGTACTTGATCATTGTATAACTGAAATCCAACCACAAAAATTTGTAAGTCTACAACTGTACC